CATTTCTTAATAATAATAATTGCTCTTTTTCAAATATTGTCTCTCTGACAACCATCTGGGCTCTCAGTAGCAGTAGTAATACTATATGTCCTCTTATAAGCAAGTTATCATAGTGACCAAAAGTTATAAACCTATCCTTAAAAGGACATGTATGATTCCTAAAGATACCTAAATAAATCCCCTAAATAAGAGAACAGTGTGGTTTTGCCAATACCATACAGATACTTTATTTCCTTTGACTGTATAATTTGTACTTAACATATTACCTGAGTAAGTATCTGCCATGACCAGTAAACCATGGATACCACTTAGGATTATTTTTTCTATTAAATCAATTTCATTGAGGAATAAAACACTTTAAGTCTATATTTCAATAAATGTTAGCTTCACACGTAATCCTAGTGACTCGGGAAGCTAAGACAGGAGGATCACAAGTTCAAGCCAGTCTCAGCAATTTAGCAAGGCCTTAAAGAACTTAGCGAGACTCTGCCTCAAAATAGAAATATTATATTATTATTATTATTATTTTTAATGGGCTTGGAATGTGGCTCAGTGGTGAAGTGCCCCTGGGTTCAATTCCTGATTAACTCCCTCCACAAAAAAATGAATGTTAACAAATAAACCCATGTAACACCCACATTGGTAGAGAACATTTTTCCATTACTCGAAAAAGTTCCTTTCTACTCCCATCTTCAGCCCTAGTCAACCATTTTGTTAATCTGAATATTCTGGGAAGGGAATCAGTTGGCAGACAGAATTTGCCATGAAAGAGATTTATGGGAAATGTTATAAATGATGAAGGAAAGAGAATCCAGAGAAGACCTGAAGACCCTGCAGGGAGTTAGGTGGTTTATAGAACATAAAAGAGGAGGGCAGGGAAAAGAAAAAAGGAATCTTAGATTGTGATGCAAAGAAATGTTTGGTCAGGCCTCAAGGTAGCTTCTCATTGGAGGAGTTCTGTGTCTCTTAATAAGGAGCCTGAATCACGCACCCTCTGTGCCCAGCCAGGGCCGAGTGTTATATTCCATTGTAGGACTGCCATAGTAAATTTATCCAGTCACCTATTGCTGGACATTTGCATTGTTTCCAATTTAGGAATCAAAGGGCTGTGGACATTTATGTGCAGCTCTTTGTATAAGCATAAGTTTCTGTTTCTCTTGGGTAAATGCAAAGGAGTGAGATTGCTAGGATATTTAGTAGGTAGTTTGTGAGAATCAGTCAATTTTTGCTTATGTGTTTGAGTCACTGTGTGTTTTGCAAGATCTCCAGTTGTGCACATCTTCTCCAACACGTGGTGGTATCAGTATTTTTAGTTTCAGCCCTTTTGGTAGATGTGCAATGCTATCTCATTGTGATTTCAATTTGTCTTTTCCTAATGACTAATAATGAGGGACATCAGATCTAATATTTATTGATCACCTCTTCCTAAGTTTTCCAAGAGTCTTGTCCCACTGTAGCATCAGCCCCAAATCATTTAAATCAGGATTCTGGGTGTGATATGGTAAGTACAGCCCCTGGGACACAATTCCTCTTCTTGTTAGATATAAATGGAAACCATTTTTTTTCCCAGTCTGTGGCTTAACTTTTCATTTGCTGGGACACAATCTTAGGCAACATACCACTGGCAAAATAAAAGTGGTTTATGTCTAACATAACCTGTGAATGTGAGAGTTCATAATTGGGCACACTTAGACTAAATTTACATCTTGCTAAGGCACCATTCCGTAATGGATTTTGTTGATTGCTCCTTCTTAGCAGGAATATGGTAACAGGAATAACACCAGGTGGTTTGATTTAGTCTAGTTAGCTCAATATCCTAAGACTTGAAGGGGAATCTTTGGTTGGGTTAAAAATTCTCTGAAATGATTGATCTCACACCATATATCAGTCTGATTATTTTCTTAAGCAGTTAAAACAGCAATAATTTCTAATGATCACAAATAACATAAGGCAGCTTCTTCTAAATAATAGCTCTTGAAAGCCATTAGCCAGATGGACAGCTAAGATAATTGTTTCTCCTGTGAAAATGACTACCCTGTCCAATGTCTACTAACTCAATGCCGTAAAGCCAAAGCTTTCCTCCCCATAATATTGTTCAAATGTAATATTCTTATTTCTGTATTTGAAACTGCAGAGACCTCACTTGATGGTCTTAATAGTCTTCCACAGTACTATTAGGAGATTTTCTTCTTCCATCCAATAACCTTTATAAAATGCCCGATGCTTTGTACTTATTACAGGGTATGGCATCTCATTCCCTTTGTGTGATGCCTCCTGGCTTGTGACTGGGCATTAATGGCCTCCTTGTTCTTCCAGTGCATCTGTAACCCTGGCTCCCTATAAATGGTGAGTATAATGTTCCCAGGAAGAAAATAGATTGCCTGTGAGAATGATATAAACCTTCATTGTATTTCCTATATAATGTTCTAAGCTAATTCTTTGACTATCTCCCTATCTGCAGGGACATTATTGTTCAGCCATTTTGTGGTTTGAGTCCAATGACTCAAAGTGTATTAACCTCTTGATATTTCAAAATGTATCTTCTCAGGACAGGAGAAGAGAAAAAGGGGAAAAGGGAAGAACGATAGAAAGAAAGGGATGAAAAGAAGAGGAAGAAAGAGTAAAAATAAGAAAATAATTTATTGGGTTCCTACTGAGCATCTGACAGTGAAATGATTTCTCTCTTGCTGGAAGCCATCCGTGAACCCTGGGTGAACTGAACTGAGTTCAAGCCATCAGTTAGGGAAGCCTGGTTTGGGAAACTCCCAGTAGGAATGCACTGGTTTGAGAATGTCTGATTCCCCGCCCTGTCCTAGCTCCCCACACACATTCAAGCAACGCCCGGGACATGGCAGTGACCTTCTAGAAGCCAAATAACCTGCTTACCCCCACCCATATCCTCTTCTTCATGAAGACACAAGTACTGAGAAAAGACTCCTCTCACACTGAAACCTTATATCTACCAATCCCCTTTAATCTGCAGCACAATAAATAAAGCAAGTGGGGCTCCATCTTTGTTAGAAGCCATACCCCTCTGGTGGGCTTACCCAGTCACTGACCCTATTCTTTAAAATATACTTCTGGTCTTTGGTGTCTCTTTCTTGTGGTTCTACTTTCATAGGTTTTATTTCACAGCCAGCTCATCCCTCTGAGGAGAACCCATTCCCTCACCCATGTGGGAAGTGAGCAAGAATCTATTCCCTGCTGAGGAAAGAATAGTAAATCAATCCAAAGAAAATAGCTCCAAGGAGGTTGTAAGCTACTGCTTTGGATAAGAATATACGTACTCTTTTAACCTCATATCAGTTATGGCCTTTCATAGATTTACCATTAAATTCAGCTGCTAAACAGAGTTCTAAAAATAGTGACCTAAAATACATATTTTTCTCACATGATTGAAGTAAACATTGATACTATTGATCGGGGCAAGAATATTAGTGCTGATGCATCTCAGATTCTCTTAACTTTTTTCCACTTCCCAGAGTAGTCTCTGTGACTTCTATTATTCATTGCCATTTCAGGAAGAGAAAGAGAAAGTGGGAAGAGGAAAAGAACATGCTTCCAACTGAGGCAACCCTTCAAAGAGCTTTTGATGAAGCCCCACTCAATGACTCAAAATCATATCTCATTAGCTACACAATTTCAGGAAGACTTGGAAATATAATTTTCAAGAAAAAAGCAAGGATGTGTTCGAAATGTGTAGGACTTTGATCCTTTCCTACTCAACAACTTATGAGTTACCTACTTACTCCTGAGTAGTGGTCAGCTTTGCTGTAGCAAGAACCCCATGTTTCAATGATTTCCTAAAACATATGTGTTTTGTCCAGAAATGTAAAATGTGACTGTAGCTCTACTCCAAGCTAAGGCACTGCTCCACAGTTTTCTCATCCAAGGACCCAGCATGCAATAACAGCCATCATGTCACCAGGCTGCCCCACACCATCATGATTCTACCACATCTTCTCACATTTGCCTCAGCAAGTCCATGGACAAGCCTGTCAATAGAGCAGTCAGTGAGAAAGTCCAGGCAGACACTAAAGTTATATAACAAGGACAATGACGTATACTCCTCTTCTAGGGCAGGGAACATGGGTTGTAAGTATTTCAATCTAATTCACTTAGGTACTTGTTTTTAAATTGTTCATTTTTCTTTGTAGACAGAATACGAAAGTGAAAAGAGGGCCCATTGGAAGTCAGGAGATGAGACCATACACCTCTTTTCCATTCACCTCACCTCACTGAGCTTCAGTTTGTTTATTTATAAAATGAAAGTGTAGGACTAGAATATCTAAAAAGACTGCCTTCCCAGGAGTCCACCCCAGTTCTGTGATCCCTTCTCATTTTGTCATGATCAAGAAGAAAATGCAAAATGCAGCAAGAAAACCTAGACTGTATTTATAAGTCCCAGTTCTAATACATCATGCCACAAATCTACGTTCTTTCATATTTTACTGTGCGGTTGTGATTGTTTTTGTTGTTTTTCTGTCGTGTATTAGAATAACCAATTTGCTTTTCTTCCATGTTACAAATAAACATGCTGGCTATAGGCATTCATATTTGTTAATAGTCTTTGGAACAATAGAAAATCCAATTCAAATGGCTGGATGCAATGAAGATGATTTATTAGTTAATATGGCTGAAAAGTCTAGGGGAGGACAGTCTTGGGAGATGGTTTAATTTGGTGACCACATGGTGCCACCAAGAACCTGTGAGCTTTATCTCAAGACTAGTTTTTCTCTTGGTCACAAGTTGACTGCCAGCTGAAACTGAAGTAAGACATGTTTTTAATTCTAGTCCAAAGAAAGAGTGCTTGCTACTGTAAAGAGCATATGCCACAGATACTCTGGGACATGCTAGGACTCACTAATTTGGTGGCCATAAGGAACAACAGCCATTGAACTGCTAAGTCATATCTGCTTGCAATTGATAAAGAAATGTGAGGGGTACTAGCCATAGGCATGCTTGATAAGGAGCACAGCTCCATGGACATGCATGAAGAATATGCCCAGCTGCAATTATATCACCTCACTGGACACAACCAGGCAACAATGACTTTCACTGGGTGTAACCAGTCAACGTATACCACCAACTTGGAACTGTATTTACATTGCTGGTCCTGCTTCATTGAAGAGTTTTGCTCCAAGGACATCTGTGAGACTGGCCACCTTGCTGCCCATCCCTAGACTGACTCCACCATTCCCTGACATCCAGCCATCAGCTGGAGAGAACCACCAGACAAGGACAACATCTATTCTTTGGCTAAGAGAAATTACATTGCATTGGAGGTATTTTGGGGCTCGTGGTTGTCTTGGGAATGTGTAATATGCTTATAGTATTTAATTAGTGTACATTGAATGTTAGTTGAGGTGTCCCAACACACCCAACACTTTTGCATTAATTATTTATATTTGATGATTGGTGTGATTGAATATACACTTACATTTAAAGACAATCCACCTAGGAGTAATTATTAATAGCACCACTAGCAACATCCACCCCAACTATTGACCACAAATTCTGGGCTTTACTCTGAGTGGAAAACGTTGTGTCAAGTTCCCAAATTTGGTTCAGACCAATCAAAGTCAAAAGAAGAATATGATTTTGCTATTTGGCTTCTCTCCACCCACATCCCTGTGGCTTTGCACAATGGGAAAGTGGTAGAGTAAATATTAGAGAAGCAGCCACTCCAGTTCACAATGGAAGACAAAGATGTAACAGGAATATTTCTATTGCTACCTTGCCACAACATAAAAAAAAATAGATCACTGTCATATAAAGAGGTTTAAGAGTAAAGTCCTGCCACATTCACACCTCCCTGGGAATATTTCTATGCTTCTGATAGAAAGCACAATGACTAATTCAAATCTGGATTTTATGAACTTCCAGTGTGTTTGCCTACCAAGAATTATCTATGTAGCAAAATTACTTTGTCCAATTTTAAGGAGCTCATAAAAAACTTTCTGAAAAGAAATTTATCTATAAATTTATCTATAATTTAGGGTTGAAAAATGTAAATATACTCTGCTACCCCTAGAAGTCACCCCTATTCTTTTATAGTGATACAAGTCCATAAGAACACAAAACCTACTTTGCTTAGTTAGCTCTTTTGTTAACATAAACAGAATGTTCTTTAACCTGTGATATACATGGAAGAGTACTTTATTTGAGAGGAGAAGGATTGTAGATTAAAACACAGTACACACCACAATTGCCAATCTTTCATGTTTTGTTTGTTGTTATCGTTGTTCAATAACTAGCTTCCTCTTATTCCCAGAGAAGTCCTGGGAAAAAAAGGCCAGACAGGTACTATGTGGCAAAGCTAAACAGGAGGGTAGCTTTTAGCTTGAAGAATCAGGGCTTACAGATGTGCCTTCTATCTTCTTATGAAATATGGGAATTCCTAAAGCATCCACTACAGTTGTACCAAATGAAATGACAAAACTGTATTTCACGTACAAATATAAGTGATTTTTGGATTATCTGTTTTTGTTCCTCTCCAATAGCTTAGAAAATTGAGTCAACTGCATGTGAACTTCGTATTCACAGCTAGCAGATAGCCTCTTCTGAATTATTCATGCTAATTATGGAGAAGGAGAAGAAATGCCATGAATAAATTAAATTTACAGATGAACAAAAATATCTGTGATTCCATGGCATATTGTACATCTCCTTGGGATAGATGCTTCACTATATGCTACAATTATTTAGATGCTTCACTATATGCTACAATTATTTATAATGTTATATCTATTTGACTTGGAGATTTGCAGGTGCCTGGTAATAAGGAACTGAAGTGGGAACTAGAAATATGAAAAATTTCAAGTCACAGTTGATCATCTCTAGGAATTTGAGTCTTACAAAAGACACAGGTAAGACTAAGAAGGTTTACAGAGCAGAAAGATAACTGCTATGACAATAACTCTAAGGAGGAGCTTGGAGGAATGTACTGTAGGGCCCAGGAGGGGCTTGTAGTAATGAGGAAGTTCCAAGAGTTGGCAACACTGGAGGTGGAGGTGGATGTTAAAGGGTGAGGTATCCAGCTGATGAGGAAGGACTTAAGTGACCTGCATTGAGTGGAACGTTTAGACCCCAGGCTTGCCAAGAATACCAAACTATTGCATGGAGCTTTCACCAGCCCAGGTAGAATTGTGAGTCTGGCTGCATCCTAAGCAGCCATGGCAGTTAGGATTAACAAACCAAAACACTTGGGGTTTCTTTTTTTAAATTAAATGCCATACTTGGCTGATAAATTTGAATGCTGGATATGGCTGCAGGATTCAGAACTGCTAATAAATTACCCAGATATTTTTAAAGTTTACTAAAATTTAAAAATTATTGCTCTATGACATTGAATACATATTGGAATCACCAAGGAAGATTTAAAAGATGCAAATGCCTGGACTCACCATACACAGAGTAACTCAAACATCAGTTTTTTTTTAATAGTTTCAAGGTGATTCTAATGTGTAGCCCATTTGAAAAAACACTTGTTTAGGGGAACAATCAAGGTATGCTTTCTTTTCTTTTTGCCGACATGTGGGATTTTTTGGAGCAAAGCATAGTCCATTTCATTAGATGCTAAAACCCACTGCGATTGACAATAATGTCAAACAATCCTCACAGTGTAGTATAACCACCTAATTATGCCTTTATCCTAAAAAAAATCTAGATAAATTGAAAAAAAAAGTTACAGAACTCAAAATCTTTAGGGAAAAAGTATTTGGTAGTTTCATGTACTGTGTGTTGGAATTAAATATTCTAAGATCTCTATTTCAAGGGACTCCAGAATTTTTGTTTCATAAATGTAATTTCAAGGTGGTATGTCTTTCTGCACATGAGGAGATATCAACTGATCATTGTGAATTTTTCAGTATTGATTCCTTCTTTCATGAGCACAAGCTTGTTACAAGATTATTTGGGAGTACATTTGAAATGAGATGAAGATACATCTCATTTGTTTATTTGCTTCTTTTCCCCTAATACCTATTTATACTTACAGTAAAACCCCTAGCTACCTTTTGAATAGATGACCACCTTTAAACCTGTACTGCACAGTCACTGCCTGTTCAGCCGTGTGTCCCCTCCTTCATTAAGAAGAGATAAAGGAGGCAAACTCAGCCAGTGACTGAATTTTCATCTGTTCCCAATGATTGAATCTGTGGACTAGTTTCCAATTGCCTTAGGTACAAAAACAATGAGAAAGATACTAAAGGACATCAAAAACATGGATGTAGGAGGACAATTCCATTGATTTTATTAGGTGAACTAGTGGAAGCACCAGAATATTCAGCAGATGTTAACTAAAAAAAGTAAAAGAAGGAGGGAGGAGTAAGAACAGAGCAATAACCCATTTTCTCTTTCTCTTGCTGATGACAGTTATTTTAATTAAGGAGTCAGTGTTATTTACCCTGGAAACTAAAGTTGCTGATTAGAACAAAGAACAAGATCACAAGATCAGATCGTGCCTAATTTTGCGTGGGAAGGGGTGAAACATCTGTCCTTTCCCAAACTCTTTCTACACAATGACAGGAAATGGAAAGGAAAATGTAAAAGTCATTCTAAAGTGTTAGCTTTATCATTCTCCTAAAAATATCTTCAGGCCAGATATGAGCATTCATTAAGTCTTGTCCTGGCATGAAATTAATCTGATTAGATCTTCTTTTATTCTTGTCTTTGTAGACATCAGTATCATCATAGGCATTCGTGATAGTGCACAGGGTATTATATATAGGAAACAAATGCATTGCTCCATCTTCTGTGAAGTTAAAAATCAAAGGCAAGATGGGTATGGTGGCACATGCTTGTAATCCCAGCAGCTCAGGAGGCTGAGGCAGGAGGATCGTGAGTTCAAAGCTAGCCTCAGCAAAAGCAAGGTGCTAAGCAACTAAGTGAGAACCTGTCTCTAAATAAAATACAAAATGGGGCTGGGGATGTGGCTCAGTGGCTGAGTGCCCCTGAGTTCAATCCCCAGTACCAAAAAAAAATCAAAGGCAAATAACTGATTCTAGGGGTGAGGCGGGTCAATACAAGATAAGCTTGGGATTTTTTTTTTTTTTTTGTGCAGATGTGAGGCAGTTCTAATAAATAAATAAATAAATAATCAATCATGTCAAAAGGCCAAATGCCCAATTTAGCCAATCTGAAAGAAGTCTCGATGAGCAAAGCTGGAACAATTTGGACAACAAAAATAACTATCCCAACATTAGATTATCACTGAGATATAAAATATAAATATCCATAAGGCCATACTGTTATAAGCAAATGGCCAAATAAATGAAAGAGAAGAGACAAATCTTTCTTACAGAAGAATTCCAAATAATTTATGTAGGTACTTTCTCCTACAGAACACAGAATTAAATCTCCTATCTTTCTGATGTAGAAAGAATTTAATGACTTGATTTCAAACAATAGAGGAGGGGAAGGGAAAACAATAATCTTACAGTGAAGAAACCTAGCAAACACAACTTTGGCTGTATAATCAAGGTGAACATCAATAGTAATAAATTGAGTTGATAGCTATCATGGAAAACAAGAAAACCTGAGAAATTACAGACCAGAAGAAAACTAATGGGGCATGACAACTAAATACTAGGGAGTGTCCTGGTTGGATCCTAGACCATATTTAAAATAATAGTGAAAAAAACATAGAAAGTCCTGGAGTTCAAGTTAATAGTACATACCAACATTGGTTTAACAAGTGTACTCAGGTAATCCAAGCCATTAACAATAGGCAAAACTGGTTAAGAGGTATTTGGGACTCTTCATGTTATCTCTGCAACTTTTCTGTAAAACTGAACCTAATCTGAACAAAAATATGGATTGGAAGAAAATATAATGCAAGTCTAGTCAACATTATTAAAGTATGAGGGATGATACTGTCAAAATAAAAACATTCACTTGACAATGCCATGCAGAGCATTTTAAAAATTGGGTGAGTTAGCTGCACTTTAGAAAGAAGAAGCCAAGAACGTAAGTAGTATAAAAATACTATACATGGAATTTAACCTAGTTCCATTTCATTTCAATGCAGGAAGGCTTCCTATGTACACTTGCTTTCTTTTCCTGAGACTAACAAAAAATCATTGTGATTCAAAGTGCTTTCAAGGCTCATTTTCTACAGGTTATACCAAATATGAGATCACTATGCAATAGGGTAAAATCTTCAAAGATTTTACTCCACAACCCAACTAGCATTCATTGATGGATTCCTACTCCATATGAGCTACCCTAACTTTTCCTGTTAATTCATGCTGTTTTCCTCTTCAACCATTTTTTCCTTTTTTATTGTTTTAACTCTCCCTCTCTTCCTTTCAACTGTTGTATGTTCTGGCTCTTAATGAGGTCTCAGAGCCCCCGTGACTGCTTCTGTTTCTCTGCCATCATGGTCTTGCCTGTATTCTGTCCTTTGAAAGGAAGCAACAGAGTTTGGAGGAAAGCTTTATTTTCATCATAAAGTACTATAATTTGGATCTGGAAGATTTCCCAAAGGCTCATGTGTTAAAGGCTTGGTCACTAGTCCCTGGTGCCATTAGGATGTTATAGAACCTTTAAAAGCTGAGGCCTATTGAGGTCTTAAGTAACTGGGATGTGTCCTTGCAGGGATTTTGGAACCTTGATCTCTCTTTCTTCCTTCATATCCCAGCCATAGGTTTTGCTGTGCCACACACTGCCACCATAGTGTGCTACCTCATCATAGCCTTAAAAGCAATGGGGTCAACTGATCATGGGCTGAAACCTCCAAATAAACAAAATAAACCTCTTTATCTTTATAAATTCATTTTATTCCAGGTATTTGTTATAGCAACAGAAAGCTGACAAGCAAAATTTACAAATTTTTATCAAGGTCAGATACTGTTATTTTAACCACCTTCATCTTATTTCTAGGTCAGAACTTTTCAAAGAGTAGTATAAGGATCACCCGAATCAGATTCAACTGGAATTTTTCTTCTTGGCCTAGACCTACTGACTTGGAATCCTTGGGGTTGTCCCAGTAATCCAATTTTAACATTAATTTCCAAGTGATGTTTTTATCCACCACTATAGGAAGTTACAACTCTTTGGACTTTTCAAAGGATTTTCATCCTCAGTTTATCTTCCTTCTTTGAAAGAACATGAAAATGTATTGAGCTGAGACAAAATTTGTTTGTCCAGAGTTCAGAAGCTGAGAAAGCTATGTCTTGACTCTTTATTAGGAAGAGACTGTGTTATAGTTTGTATAAAAATTCTCTCAAAGACTTATGTATTGAAGGGTTAATCCCTGGCCCTTGGCACTATTGGGAGGTGGTGGAAACTTAGGAAGGGGGTACCTAGATGAAAGACCTAGGTCATGGAGGGCCTATAACTATGAAGGATCTATCGGTCCTTGAAGGGTATGTCTTTTTTCTGGTCCCTCTCCCTGTCACTGGCTGCCATGAGGTGAGCAGCTCTGCCTCACTCTGTGTTCCAAAGAGCACCATGATATGATGTTCAATCTCACCACAGACCCAGAAACCACAAAGCCAAGTGAATATGGACTGAAACCTCTGAAATCATGAACCAAAATAAGTATTTCCTCCTTTAAGTTGGTTTTTGTCAATCATTTTGTCATAGTGACAGAAAGCTGACAAATGTGGTATATCTGTCTCAAAATAAAGAACTCATGGAAATAAAACTGCTTGTAATTGTGTCAGTTTCAGCATTTCCAAGGAAGTTATCCAACTAGGGTCCCTACCAAGACCCAGCTACCAATGGCTTTATTAACCAGTGTTCTTAGGCATTAAAACATTATTTTCATTACCTGTTTAGCTTTCTTCAATAAATTTCTTGCCACTGTTATTAGATGAAAAATCTAATAAGTGTTATGTAATGATGAAATTGAGAATTAGGCTGAAACTATGAGAAGAATAGATCATTTTAACTGACACCACTTGGCTTAAAATTTTCCTGAAAATGTTTCCCTTCTCAAAAGTAGAATAATATGAAAATTGTATGTGATTTATAGTTGTACGATTTGTCTTTGATATTCAATTTTCCATTGCTTGTCTCATTGTGGAAGCATCAGTCTTATTTTCTTCTCATTTCATTTGAAATAGCCAAATTGTCTTTTATGTTAATTACCTTTAAATAAGAAAAAAAAAATATCCCTATGCACATGATACCCACCCTCAAACAGTCATTATTTCATTAACTTCATGCTTTGGTGACATGATGACTGCTTGTTACAGCACAGTGGAACTGATAAAAATTAAATCTAAATGGGTCATTCATTAAAAAGCCAGTGTGAAATGTCCTGAAAAGCAAGGTTCCTTAGTTTAATTTAATGGTTTTTTTCCCCTAAATAGTCATGCTGCTCTCGTAGTTCAAACAAACATCTATATGATTAATTTCTAATTTTTTTTTTACTCAAAAATAATACCTTAAAAAATTAATGCTGATTATATCTTTAAAAAAAACAAACCCAACCTAAAACAAAAATGTTGAAGCACATAGCCAAATATGATTGGGAACTATGCATGTCTTTGATCAAAAAACATAAGCGAAAAATCTGCTATGGCCACTGAAATATCAAATTTAATTTGTTTACATATTAATTTTTAAAGCAAATAATTTATTCCTTTAATATTTTGAATCCTTCTGTAATATGAATTGAATTGCATCCTGCTGTCGTATATAACTAATTAGAATAAATAAAATTTAAAATTTTTTTTTGAATTCTGAAACAATAATCTCAATCAGGTTAGAATGATTCATGGCCATTTAGACAAAAGTTTGTATTCTAAAAGCCTTTCTAGTCTTTTGTGTGCTTGTTTTTTGTTGTTGTTTGTTTTTGCCTACTAGATAAAAACTGTGTTTCCATGGTATTTGGCTCTATTTAAGTACTCTAGTATTTATATGGGGGAAGGCCTTATGGTTTTAAGAACTTGTAGAGCTCTCATTATACTTATTTTGAGTAAAAGTTATTCTATTCTTTCACTCAACAGAAATTTTCACAACTTCTTCCTTCCTTCCTCCCTCCCTCCCCCCCTCCTTTCTTTCTTTCTTTCTTTCTCTCTCTCTCTCTCTTTCTCTCTTTCTTTCTTTCTTGCCTTCCTGCCTTCCTGCCTTCCTTCCTCCCTCACTCCCTCACTCCCTCCCTCCCTCCCTCCTTCCCTCCCCCTTCTCTCTCCTTCCTTCCTTCCTTCCTTCCTTTCTTTCTTTCCAGAGACTTAACCCAGGGTGTTTAACAACTGAGCCACATACCGGCCCTTTTTAATTTATATTTTTGAGACAGGGTATCATCAAGGACCTTGATAAGAGAGAGACTGGCCATGAAATTTGGATACTCCTGCCTCAGCCCACAGAGTGGCTGGGATTACAGGCATGTGCCATCACACCTTGCTCTCAGCCTTTTTCTTATGTCAGACATTGTACCAAAACTTTTAGAACGAGTGCAGGTGGAGCAGACATGCTTCCTGCCTTCATGGAACCTAATGTTATTATCTTATTTTTTATTCCTAAAAGTATAATGACTTTTTGTCATTTTCCTGCTAGTTGGATTCATTGCTTATTAATCATTAAGACTGTTCTAGTACCTAAATGTCACTGTTTTAACAACAAAACAACCACAAAAAGACAAAATTTTAAACATGGTAGAAAGCCAAGGTATATGTTATATGTCTTGAAATATATCTCGAAATAATTATATATTTTATATATATTGTAATGTTTTACATAACGTGATTTCTATATGACACATAATAAGACATAATTTGAGGCACATAATTACATGTCATATATGTCATTTACTTCTATACATCACATAATTTCTATATGACATATAATTATATATATATATATATGTTATATGCCTTAAATTACATATTTAAATAATTAATCATTGAGGCAATATGAATTTTACATAATTACTGATCACAGCTTTTATTACAAATTCAGTTAATTATATGAGAATATAAGAAATCAGGAAATGGGAAAGTACCTGACAAAAGGCTAATTCAGTAATATAAATCACACTCCCTATAAAATGAGGAGGTGCATCTTTTGAAATTCATTAGAATAGAGGAAACCTGGACAGAAAAGGTTCAAGCTCTTATCTTTTCCAAGTAATGATATGATATAAACAAACACTCTCCTATAAAGATACAAAGCCTTTAAGTTTCTTTGACTGTTCCTACTTAGGAAATTATATTATGTAAATTAAGGAATTTTCTTTGTTCAAATTTAGGAAATTATATTATGTAAATTAAGGTTAACTTTGAAATGTTTTCTGGGATTTTTATGAATTACAGTGAGATTAATATTGTCCATATGTATTAAATTTTAAAGCTTAACTATTTTACTACCTAATAAATAAATTCAAGTATTATCTAGAAACTGGTTTCTCTCAACTTTTACTTCAGTTCCATTTTACCATCCACCACTCCTGAGTCAGTAAAGACTTTCGATTGGTTGTCAAGGAAACTATAATATAAAGACTTTTGAAAATGGTGATAATCTCAATCCCCATACACCTGTAAACAAGAGATAAACTAAGTAGAGAAAGTACAAATGTGTTCACCATCCCATGGAGAAAATAAGCTTTAAATTATACTATCAAACGGCTTTTCAAATGTGAGGTGTGTTGTTTTAAAGGAGAAGAAAAAGAAAAACAAGAATTTGAAGGAATCTCAAGAGGTGCTGGGATAAATGAGGAAAGAAATGAAACCTGAAGTATAATGATACATATTCATTGCAAACTCCTGAGGTATTTTCCTCCTTGTCTAATTTAACAATTGGAATCACAAGCCTGCAATTCTGCCAGTATTACTGTGCCTTTATTATACAGCACGAGAATTTTATTTGCTAGCATAATATAAGCAATTTACCTGAAGGTTTAATTGAAAACAAAATCTCAATAGTAGCATTTTGTACTTTCCTGAATTGTTTTGGAAATGCCCAGAATTTTTACTTTATTCAAATTCTAGGAATTAATTTAAATGTGTAAAAGTTTTCAGGTTTCAGCTCTCCAGATTTAAAGTTACAAGTCCCAAATAAATTTATTTGACAGGAAAAAAGGAAGAATAAGAAGTAAAAAGAGGAGAAAGAGAAACAGGAGGAAGTGAAGGTGAGAGCAAAGTGTTAGTAATTCTACTGAAATTTTAGCATGGCTCATTTGGGCCATTTAAGACTCAAGTCAAAGTCAAGAGTAGATGTGGAACAGGAATAAGTAAGTATGCAACCTGGATAATACTAGTTTACAACCTAGATCAAAAGTGTCCTACATAGGTATCTGTTCCAATACTAACTGCATATCAAATAGAAGTCAGTACTTGGTTATATCAAGGAGACACCCTCCTTGACCAAACTTTCATCAGTCTCCTCTGAACCCTCCTCAAGGAAGCCTTGACCTGTGGACTTCCACATCTATTTTTGCATTGAATTTCTCACCTTCAATATCTGATTCTTCTCCATATCTGAAATAACCCCTTAACCCCTAACCTTGCTATCTGATCCTGTCAAGTTAACTTAGCCAGAGTCTCCTTACCCTTATATTTCCTATTAATAACTTTCCATCCATTTACCTATACCTGTTCCTTGGCTCTCTATCCCCCACTTGTTCATGTTGTACTCAAAATTAAGCCCAGTTCTATGCTGGGGTCTCCTTTCCTCTATTACAATAGTTCCTGAATAAAATCTGTTTTTTACTGTGTTAATTTCTGTGCAGTTCTGATTTGCTTTAACAATAATCAATTAAATCTTTTATTACATACCACTTTCTGTGGACTTCTATTTCATGTTGCTGATATTTGTCTCTACAAATGCTAAAACTAAGTCTAATCCCCTTGAGGCTCAGAGCCTCCTATATATTCATCTTATGTTTCCCTATCTCTTCCTCTATAGGTTGCCAGCAGAGAAATAAGATCTCCAAAAACATAAGTAAAGTAGACAGTTTTTAAGATTTTCTTAAATATTGAATAGATAGTATAATCTGAATTCTTAACAAATGGCATCTCTTAATAGTCTGAATTCTTTGCTTCTACCAATAGAAATATGTGTTTGGGTGATGTAAAGTTGATTTTTTAGGTGGTATTCTCATCGAATAGCTTTGAAACTAGAAAAGTCCTAAAATCTTAAAGTTGTTAACACAACCATCAAAGTTTAAAGCTTTAAAACGAAAGTTCAAAATCTACTTAGCTTACTTAGGATTCATTTGACAGATATTTTTCTCTAAAATGGAGAAATACAAGTGAAATGGAATAATGTAAGATGCATAAGTTTTCTCTAAAATAACAATGGCTCTTCCAAAAGAAAATTTTATGTGTCATATTTTTTTACAACTCAGTGTAAATTGCTATGTGAAAGATGCATGTAATGCTATTACATGCTGACTAGGGGACATAACCTAAAGAAGTAGCTACTGTTAGCTCAGTGCCCAGGATGCCCCCTATTTCAACACCTATCTCATCTAATTCTCATTAGTGACCATCCCTGGACTGTGAGAATGAAAGGAAGCAAGGGGTTGCATTGAATCTGTGATAATTTAATGCAAAAATACTAAATAATCAGTTTGTATATATTCTGTTTTATGTTAGGAAAGAAAGAGACTTCAAGCAATTATAAACAATAGTGATAAAACAATCATGCAAATTTGTGTTTTACCCTTTATCAGTTAATTTTGCATCCATTTTTTTCATCTACAC